CAGGTGGATCTCTGTGAGTTCGAGGCCAGCCTGGGCTACCAAGTGAGTTCCAGGAAAGGCGCAAAGCTACACAGAGAAACCGTCTTAAAAAACCAAAAAAAAAAAAAAAAAAAAAAAAAGGTTGCCTTGCCCTGGTGTCTCCTCACAGCAGCGACAGAACAGCACCTAAGGCAGGAGCCCTGACTGGTGTGGTTTGTGTCTCAGGTAGTGGCAGTGTTACCACAATAATCCCACACCCACCCAACTGCCCATTCCTGTACCCTTCTCACAGCCACCTTTCCCTCCATGGTGCACACTTCCTCACACACATGGCTGTAGAATAAGTCAAAGGCCCTATGCACGCTGTAGAATCAGTGCCTTAGAGTTGAGGGTGGGAACTGCATTTGGAGAACTGACAGAGCATGGAGGAGGTCTGTGACTCACTCCTTCCTTCCCCAGCCTGGGCTCCAGCTCTCAGCCCTCCTTTCCTATACTTACTTTTATTAAGTTATATCTTGTCCTCTACCCCTCACCCCCAGTACCACGCCTGCCTCCCACTACTCCTGAGACCATGAAGTGTGCTACTAAAAAACGCTCCAGCCTGGCATTGTGTGTGGTGTTGTATACTAGTAATCCCAGTACTGAGGAGGCTGAGTGAAGTCTCAAAAGTTCAAAGCCAATCTGGGCCACAGTGAGACTCTCTTTAAAACACAAGTTCCTAACAGCTGCTAAGTTTCAGAGTCCACACTATCCCTCTGCTGCCGGAGGACCACTGCCCTGAAGTCAGAGTGCAGGCATGCTCTGACCTGAGTCTGCTCCCCGAGCCTACAACGTGGGCGGCAGCTCTCAGCAGCAGGCTGTGATCCGGTCACTGAGGACAGTTTCCTCCACCTCTCAGTCTACTGAGAGGTGCCATCCTTCTTTCCACCTTATCAACATTTTCTCTCTTCCATTTTATGGATGTTTTGCCCGTGTGTACACATATAAATTAAATCTTTTCTTTTTTAAGAACAAGCCCTTGGAACCAAAGGTGTTGCTTTGCTTCCATGGAGGTTATTTTGCTTCCTACTGCCACCTAGGGGTAGCTGGGGATAAGAGAGCTACCCTCCTAAAAAAAACCGCATTCTTCATAAAATTCAGTTTGAAGTTTTATTTGGAGAATGTGAATGTATCATCCATTCCCCCTTTATTGGTCAGAGGAAATATAGTTGACAGTATTTCTCCTCCTTTCTTTGTTTTTAGAGATAGGGTTTTGCTATTTAGCCCAGGCTGGCCTTGAACTCTCAATCCTACCTCGGCCTCTCAAGTGCTGGATTAAGGAAGGGCATAAGGAACCACACTGGGCTCTAACAATTCGTTTGTTTCCGTCTTTCCTACCTTTATCTTTTGCTCCACAGAGCCACGTCTGGGCTGGTCAGTTTCCCATCGTTCTAGGGAAGGTGGACGCCAAAGGGGTCAAGTCATCTGAGTGGGTCAGCTGCCTTGGATTAACACAGAATCCTCCCCTACTCTACCAAGTAGAAAGCCTGCCATGCTCTTTCAGCAGCCACAGGCAAACAGCTGCAGATGAGTTTGAAAAAACAGCTCACTTCTCTAACACCCACTGCTGTTAGCCAACGGAAGTGCTGAGCCACATCTTCAACTAGGCAAAAATGTAACTGGAGTGCTGTAGGCGGGGTGGGGGTATTGTGGTAGCCCTGGCAGATTCGTAAGCCTCAGGCACTTTGGGGAGTGCCCAACATGTGCAAAGTCTCTGTGGGGGAAGGAGAGGTGGGGAAGCCTTGGAGCCCATTCTCCAGACAATCCTATGGGAGTTAAGAAACAATCTGAACAGGTTAAAGGTCACAGACTAGGATGGAGATGGGACATAGCAACAAGGTGATATTCTATGTTCCATCCCCATCACTACTACAATAAAGTTATGTGATTGTTGTACAGTAACACAAGACCACCCTCCATCTTGGACATGAGCCTGTATAGGCTCAGCCTGGAGATGCAGAGTTAGGTGCAGAGTTCTGGAATGATCTCGTTCGATGGGATGGTGTAATTGGGTGGCTGTGATCTGCAGAATATCGAGTGCCTCTATCAAGACATACCCAGTCCTGACTCCCACCTTCCTGTGGGCCAGCACTCCCACTGAAAGGCCTCAGATTCCAGGCACTGCCCACCACTTTCCATTCTAGGCAGTCTCCAGAATATTAGTAGCTGGAGTCAGTCACACCTTGTGGACAGCTGGTGCACGCCTTTAATCCCAGCACTCAAGAGGCAGAGGCAGGTGGATCAATCGCTGTGAGTTCGAGGCCAGCCTGTGCGACAGAGTGAGTTCCAGGAAAGGCTCCAAAGCTACAGAGAAACCACCACTGACTGGCCTTTTTTGTTTGTTTGTTTGTTTGTTTGTTTTAGACAGGGTTTTTCTGTGTAGCCCTGGCTGTCCTGGAACTCAACTGAAGTTAAAGGTCTGTGCCACTACCACCCAACCTTCCCAGTTGCTTCTTCTTGGTTTCCTCTGAGCTATGTGATTCCTGTCCTTTGATGAGGCAGTATAGTGCTCTCCTCTGTTCCCACAACACTGTCATCCAACAGATCACAGCCACTCCCCTGACCTTACGCTCCAGGGCTGACCATCACACCTGGAACAAGTCCACTTGCCCAGGGGCTGGGATGCTGAGTTGGCAGCTGCCTCTCCATCCCCTTTCCTGCTCCCACAGTGCACCCCATCAGCCTTCCAAGTCCTTAAGTGTTCAGGCTCATTCCTGCCACAGGGCTCTGGCACACTTTCTTCTTTTTACCTAGAACAGCTCTTCCTCTGATCCTTTCAAAGTGACTCATCTGCACCTCCTCACAATCGGGCTCTCCTAGTTCCTTGTTGATGTTGCGTAGATCAGCACCAAGAGAATGATGAGCAAACACTTTCCCACACCTATCCCTGGGATGGTGAGGAGCACTTAGTAACCACAGGTGATAGAAAGTGCCGTCTCCAGCCCACCCACCTCTACAGACTCCTGTTTCCCCCTCTACACGCCTGCACGCCTGCCCCCCGGGCACACAGACACCTTCAGATGAAATCTAGTCCTACACTGTCCCCCTCCTCCTCGCTCTTATCTTAGAGGATGTCACAACTAGCCAGCCAGTTACACAAACAGAAGCCAGAGTCCCTTTACCCCTTACACCATAGCGGTCTCCTCCGTCTTCCTGTCATGTACCTCATTAACTTTCTCTTTTATCCATCCATCCATCCATCCATCCATCCATCCATCCATCCATCCATCCATCCATCCACCCACCCCAAGTTATACATGTAGATCAGGATGGCCTGGAATTCAAAGATCCTCCTGCCTCCGTCTCCCAAGTGCCAGAACTAGAGGCATGCGCCACTATGCCCAGCTTTTTTCTTAACGGTGGGGAGTCGACAGGACTACACACCAAGCACGCACTTTACCACTGAGGTACACCCCCATAGCCTTTCTACGTCTCATTCACTTGCTGCATCCACTAACACTAGCAGCTTCTCTTATTTGAACTATTTTAACCATTTCTAAAACCAGTCTTAATGCAACCTCACTCCCACCATTTTTGACTCCAGGGTCAGACGATGGCAGTGCCTAGCAAATGTGTGGTCACTTCTTTCTTTATGCTCTTCTGTGGCTCCTGGGTCTTCACAGCCTCAAGCTTTGGCTTTGCTATCCTTGAGCACCTTCTCTCAGGCCACACCAAGGCTGTGGCTCCCTGGGACTCCTCTAGAACACAGGTTAAAACCAAAAGAAAAACCTCATGTTTCTCCCCCCGCCCCACACTTCATCTTATATAGCCCAGGCTGGCCTGGACTCACAATCCTTTGTGTGTGTGTGGTTTTGGTTTCTATAAGCATGGTTTCTTTGTGTAGCTTGACTATCCTGGAACACACTCTGTAGACCAGGCTGGCCTTGAACTCAGAGATCTGCCTCCCTCTACCTCCCAAGTGCTGGGATTAAAGGCATGTAGGAACCACAGTTTTCAGTTTTAGTTTCTTAGTCTAGGATCCCACTCAATATTCAAACAATCCTAGAACACAAGGCCCACTGTTACTGTATATCCAATAAAACTCAGTAAATCCCATAGGTTTTCTAAGGTTTTCAGTGTTCAGCTATCTGGCTATCTTGGGAAGGATCCTGTTGGAGTCTTCTGCAGATCCCTCAATCCAATCTTGCAGATGAAATACCAGTGGGCAAATGGCATGCATCAGAGTTTCAGATCATACAAATGTTCCCCTCAGCAAAGAATGAAGAGCCCCATTCACATATCCCTAGAAAAAGAAGAGCACAGAGGCCCACAGCAATTCTTTTTAAGATACTTAAAGGAGCCGGGCGGTGGTGATGAACACCTTTAATCCCAGCACTCAGGAGGCAGAGGCAGGTGGGATCTCTGAGTTCAAGGCCCGTCTGATCTACAGAGCTAGTTCCAGGACAACCAGGGCTACACAGAGAAACCCTGTCTGGGAAAACCCAAAACCAAAAGAAACTTAAAGGAAAAGGAGAACAACAGAACTGCTTCTACAGACCCTGTTATTAAAAACGGCCACTTTTATACATTTGCCTCTAGTTTAGAATAGTCACCATTTAGAATGCAAACAACCCAGCATGGGGAAGACATAGGCCTCTGGAGGGTTGTTTTGGGATGGTCCTTCTGTAAGCTGTGAATATGTATTATTCTCATTGGTTAATAGTAAACCTGTTTGGCCTATAGCAAGGCAGGATAAAGTTAGGTGGGACAATCAAACTGAGGATGAAGGAAGGCGGAGTCAAGAGAGCCGTGAGCAAGCTGCCCAAGAAGCAAGATGCCAGA